ACTGCCCCACCCCGGCCCCGGAAGCTCAGGGGTTTAAGGCAATAAATCACCGTTAGATGAGCATCTAAGGGCCCGCCTTAGGGCCCTAGGTGGAATCCAGGGGGCAGAGTCCCCGAAAGCTTAGGGGGTTTTATAGGCATTTAATCACGGTCAGATGAACATATTTTCATACCTCATTATTTTGTGCCACTGGCAGTTAACCATTCTTTCTTTCTTGCTCCCTTTCTTTCTATTTCTCTTTAATATACTTTTTTGGTTAAGTGTGTGTGGGGGGGGGGGAGCTCGAGGCTCCCGATCCCCGCCGTTCCTCGCGCCCTGACATGTAGGCACCTCAAGAAGCTTATTTCTTGCCTGGCTGTAAATTTAGGAATTTGTAATTTTCCAACAAACGCATGTAAAAATATAGGTAATTTACTAAAAAGTAAGGACAAATCTCGGAAAAATTATGTCATTTTAGCATTATTTGTAAACCACCGTTATGGAATTAGAAATAAACCACGTTTCCACCAAGCCGCCCCCGCCCCCTATCAGTACACCAGTGCCCCCGGCCCCCCTCCGTTACACCTTGTTGGCGGGAAAAAATCGCAACTGATCTCCCCTACCTTTCTTCTTTCTCTTTTTTTTGTCTTTCCCTTTCTCTCCTCTTTACCTTTCCCTTCCCTTCCTTTTCTCTCTAATAGGTTGTCCGGGGGGGGGGGGGGGGGCTAGGGCCTTTCCGCCCCCATCCCGCTCCGCACGCTGTTGGCGGGATTAGCAGCAACTGATCTCCCTTCTTTTCACCCTTTTCTTTTCTTCTTCCTCTTTTTGTTCCTTTTAGCTCTCCTCTTTCCCTTTTCCTTTCTTCTCTCTCTCTCTCTCTCTCTCTCTCTTTTTTTTTGGGGGGGGGGGGGGAGGGGGAACAGCCTGGGAGGCAAGGCCCTTTCAACCCCGATCTCTTCCTCCCTCTCTTTTTCTTTTCTTCTTCCTCTTCTTTCTTTTCCTTTCTCTCCTCTTTCCCTTCTTTTCATTCTATCTCTCTCTCTCTCTCTCTCTCTTTTTGCGGGGGGGGGGGGGGGGCAAGGACCGCTCGGCTCCCCTGGATCCGCGCCTGACGTCATTGCCTCGCTTTCCTCTAATTGTTTTCTTTCTATTGGTAATATACATTTCTCACTTTCCCCCTGAGAATCTCATCTTCTAACACCAGCATCCAAGTCATATTGATAATAATATGTTTTTGTGTGGATGCACTAATAATCTAATTTAGAGTAATTGTTTTCAGTTAAATCATGAAAAATGTGAATTCTGAAAATTTATTTATATAAAAGTCAATAATTATGAATATACAATATTCTGAAAATAGTTTCAATTCTTCAAAGTTTATAAAAGATATTGTGAAATGTCATGCCCGCAATACGATACAAATCATATAACCTGGGCAAAGGCATGGGGAAATCAAGTTTTGGGTATAAAGAGGGGAATTAATGGGATAAAAATATATAAAGCAATTGATAAATAGTGAGGCAATGGCGTCACAAACTGATAACCAAATTGGCAATTTGTGTAGTGATTTCCATTGTTCCATAGTTTTTCATATTTAAAAAAAAAAATCATAACTTCCTTATTTTTTTTTGCTCTGCTCCTCTTGTTTTTCTGCATCTATTGAAAGCGAATTATTTTAAAGTGGATTTACCCTTTAGGTTATACCACATTCAAGCTTTTCGTAAATATACAATATTGCACGATATATTTTCCAAATAAGTAAGGAATTTAGATTTTCAAGATTTTTAGCTAAATAAGATACGGTTTTGTGACCGGAAGGCATATGTGAACGGAGCTTTTATTAGAACTTATGGATCTACCATCTCCAGGCACCCAGAAACTATACAATAATTTTAGCCAATGAAAATTTTCAAGATTTTCGTTTGTCCATGACACTGGAATTCTCAAAACCTCAGGATACCAGACGGAGCTGACCGGACTACAAGCCTAGTTACTGCTCGGAGAGGGGGGGGGGGGGGCACTTTAAAATTGTGTCTTGTTGGGGGATAGGGAGCTTGGACACTCTCGGGCCTTGAAGGTTTTCGCGTCATGTAGCGTACAACGGGGTAATGCAATCCCAATATGATTTACTGTTTGAGTTCTATAATATTTGAAATAATTGATAGTGTTTATATATTACGTACGCGTAAATATATATTTACATAACTCTACGTGTTTGTTTAACGCTGATTGGAAATAATAACTGATGATGGGGGGGGGGGGTGGATGATAGTATCTTCATTTGTACATTTTGTATCATTTTTTCTACTTTATACTTCTGTTCTTTGTTTTTTTTAAATATTTGAATGTTTAAGATATGTGTAATAATAAAAAAACAATAATAATAATAATAATAATAATACAGTCTTCTTTACCCAGGGTAGCCTCATCAATATTTATGCTGTTCTCCCTGAGGTCCTTGCAATCAAATTATAATAATAAGATGTTGGTTATAAAGGTGGCCTATTTACCCCAGTTTATGGAATGATTTTGACAATGATTTATTCTTAATAGATTTAGATAATAGTATACATTCTCAGATTAAAACAAAAAAATAGTGTTTGTTTTACCTGACTGCATGACTGCTAAAGTGTGTGCTACCAGGCGTCGGAGGGGCGAGGGGCCTCCCCCCCCCCCACAAAAAAAGAGAGAGATTAAGGAAAATAAGGGAAAGAGGAGAGAAAGGAAAGAAAGAAGAAAAAGAAGATAAGAAAAGAGGTAAAAGAAGGGGATCGGGGGAGGGGGAAAAGGCATTGCCTTCCCCTCCAGCCCTCCTTCGCCCCCAAAAAAGGAAGAGAGGAGGAAGGGAAAGGAAAAGAGGAAAGCGATAAGGGACAGAAAAAAAGAGAAAGAAGAAAAAGAAAAGGGTGAAAAGGAGAGAAGATCACTTGCAATTAATCCAGCCAATGACGTGTTGATCGCGGGGCCGAAATGCCCTTGCCTCCCCTCCCCCCTCAGCAAAAAAAAAGAGAGAGAGGGAGAGAGAGAAGGAAGGTCGGGGAAGGGAAAGAGGAGAGAAAGTGAAATAAAACAAAGAGGAAGAAGAAAAGAAAAGGGGGAAAGATGTGCTTTTGCGCTCTCCCCCCCCCCCCCCCCAAGCGAGACCAAGCGCCATATACGCCACTGGACTCTACTGGCGTACTCCCCCAAATAAGAATAAAACGAGGTTTATTTCTAATTCGATTTCAGTGATTTACAAAAGTTGTGAAATGACATAACTTTTAGTAAATTATACTGTTTTATGAGTTTGTTGGAAAATGACGAATTCCCAAAGTTACAGTCAGGCGAGAAGTATGCTTATTTAGAGGTCTACATGTCAAGGCTAGCGGCACAGCGGGGCTCGGGGGCATGGGTCCCCTCACTATTTTGAAAAAGTATATTCAAGAGAAGTAGGGAGAAAGTAAGAAAAATAAATTGTTACCTGCCAGTGTCACAAAATAATGAAGTCTCAAAATATGATCAACTGACCGTAATTAAATGAAATTTCAGAGGCTTCACCCTCTTGACCCCACCAAGGGCCCTAAGGTGTGCCCCTGAATGCTTATCTGACCGTTATAAAATGCCTAAAAACCCCTGAGTTTCCGGGGTATCAAAATATGCTCATCTGAACGTAATGAATGCCCCGATAGCCCCTGAGTTTCCTGGGGCTCAGCCCCTGGACCCCACGCCAATTCGTGACCTACCCGTGTCATAATAAGGTATCAAAATATGCTCATCTGAACGTAATAAATGCCCATTGCCCCTGAGCTTCTGGGGGCTCCGCCCCTAAACTCCACACCAATTTATGTTCCGCGAGCCTTGACGTGCAGACCTCAAAATAAACATATATCTCGCCTGACTGTAACTTTCGGAATTCGTCATTTTCCAACAAACTCATAAAACAGTATAATTTACTAAAAAATTATGTCATTTTACAACATTTGTAAATCACTGAAATCGAATTAGAAATAAACCATTTAAGGGGGAGGCTGCCCCCTTCGAATTATTACGCCAGTGGTGTCTAGTGGCGTATCTGGTGCTTGGTCTCGTTTGGCGGAGGCGAGATGAGAACGAAACCATATCTTTTCCCCTTTTCTTTTCCTCTTACTCTTTATTTTCTTTCCCTTTCTCTCCTCTTTCCCATTCCCTCCCTCCCTTCTTTATCTCTCTCTCTCTCTCTCTTGCTGAGGGGGGAGGGGGAGACAAGGGCCTTTTGCCCCCGATCCACACCTTTATGACGGGAAAAATCGCAACTGATCTCCCCTACCTTTCTTCTTCCTCTTTTTTTTTTCTTTCCCTTTCTCATCTCTTTCCCTTCCTCTTCCCTTCCTTCTCTGTTTTTAAAGTTTGCTGGGCGAAAGGCAAAGGCCTTTCACCCCCTACCTGAACCTCATGTTGTTGGCTGGATTAATTGCATCTGACCCCCTCCCTTTCTTTTCACCTGTTTCTTTTTTTCTTTCCCTTTTTTTGTTCCCTTTAGCTCTCCTCTTTCCTTTATCCTTCCTACTCTTTTTTTGTCCCCCCCCCCTCTTTTTCCCCTCTTTTCTTTCCTCTTCTTTCTTTCCTTTCTCTCCTCTTTCCCCTTCCCTTCTGTTCCTTCTCTCTCTAGCTCTCTCTCTTTTTTGGCGGGTGAGGGGGGAGACCCCTTCGGCCCTCCCCTGGATCCGTGCCTGGCCGTGGGTGTGTCCCCCATCCAGTACTGACATGAGCAGTTTTGTAATAGCGAACAGGCCCCGTACGTACTGAGCTGAGCAGCTTTGTAACAGCGGACTTGATTGGTTGCCTTAAAATTCAATTTACGAGCGTTCTGCGCATCCGTCTGGCAAAGTAACAGGCGTGTGCTATCGCACCTTGCACGCGCCTGCTAAATAACAGGCGGTGATTGGTCAATTTAGCAGACGTGTGCCGCGTTCCATACGTCTGGGGCACGTGAATAAAGTCACCAACGGCTTTCCATATTAGCATGTACGTATATTGTACGCATTCAAATCAAGACCGTACACGAACACGCGCGCATACGTACGTAGAGCGATTGCATTGCTGCTTCGATGCGTTTATGTGGGTTGAACTTTTACGTTACAGAGAAAGACTGGATAGTATGTGACTAACAACTTAGAGCAGACACATTCATGTTATATGGAACGACAGCCACCTGGACTTTAGTGGATACTTCTCAATGATACCGTGCACTTGTGACCAAATTTTGGAATATTAATACTCTTTGGAAACATCGCCACGATGGTTGACAACGACCCCGATTTTGAGCCGCAAGCTCGACCACGTTCTTGTACATGGCCGTTGCGTCGGCCAGATTTTTTGGACTCGAAGCCGGGGCAACCAGGCAATGCCGCCGGGGCTCCACCGGTAGATCACGCTCACTCCGCTCTCAGCCCTGCCGTCCTGGCTGAAGAACCGCTTGATATTAAACCAGTTTTACCTTTAGAAGGCGGAGAAAACCGTGAATTATCAACACCATCATCACAGAGACGGAATGGTTCAAGAAGAAATGCCTGGGGAAACCTGTCATATGCAGATTTGATAACCAAAGCTATTCAAAGCGCTCCCGATCAGCGCTTGACCTTGTCACAAATTTACGACTGGATGGTCAAAAATGTCCCATTTTTCAAGGATAAAGGAGACAGCAATAGTTCAGCTGGTTGGAAGGTATGTTATTCCAAAGTAACCCCAGAAGCCTGTACCACATTATAGTTATAAATTTAGCAAGTGTCATATTCTGGAAAGATGTTTTTAATGCATGTATTTTTGTGCATTTTTTTTTCGACTGCGGGACTTGTTTTCAAAATGTAACCCAGTGCACCCATTCAGCTCAGCGTACGTTGTCGCATTGCCCCTCTACTTCCGCACTTTCGCAGTAGCATGCGTCTCCCGGCTTGAAATAGATCTCGATCTCGCAGAGTTTGTTTGTATCTCACAACTCGTGTTCTGTGATTTATTGTTCAAATGGCAGTTGCTCCTACACTCTAGTTCTACTATTCCATTATCAATCATTACAAGGTAGACTTTAGGTACTGTTGCATTTCAATCAAATCTTCAACTTTAGAATCTGGACTTTTTCAAACTTTTTTTTCTAAGTTTCTTGACACTGACAGGTTCAGATTTATAAAAAACAAAAATGTTTTATGTTTTGATTTCATTATGTTTCTCACTATCTCTTTCTCTCTACCTTTTTTAATTTGTTGAAATCCCCTGCTTTTTATTTTTATTTTTATTTGTGGGAGGGATGGTTAAGGTGGTTAAAGACTTCAAGCCATTTTAAATCACAGTTAATATAGATCTACAGTAGATCTACTTACATGTATGTCTTTTAGTTTTTAACTTAAACATCTGTCTAGTAGTGCATTACATTTCTGACATGTTTGGTCTTCCTAACAGCCTATCAACTGCAAAATATAATTTCTCTCTATCTAGAATCCCATTTCTAAAATTCATAAAAACTCTGTTTCTTTATAAAAATTCATAAATCAATTCTCACCCCACTGAGAAATCACTAAATAACTGAATTACTGATAATTTGATTCCTATTCAGCTTCTTTGTTTGTAATTGCATTTGCATTATTTAAAGATGAAGTTGAGTTCTGGTCATGCGATTGCATTGTGAAAGAAACGGTGTGGAATCGATCAGAAAAGGTTGATCATCTAGCATATAAGAATTTGTGTGTATTGCAAGGTTCTGGAATCATCAAGATCATAAGAAATTTGGCCAAGTCTTGGTAAAGTTACAAACACTGTACACAGAAAGATGTATATGGGACTACACGAACACGTGGCGTAAAAAGCCGGCCCCCCAATTTTTACGATTTTACATGCATATTTAGAACATGAAGGCATTTGAAGAGCCATGCTTTTCAGGGAACATGTCTTATCTGATGTTATTTTTCACCTCTTCCCAGAACTCAACCTTCTCTTTAAAATCAATTTTTATTTTAACATTTCTTTTATGACTATAAATGGTCTGATTTAACATCTTCTAGATTAAATTTTATTTCACACCCATGACCCATGAGCAGTCAAACTTGTTTAAGTGACCACCTGTATAGAAAGACCACACGTTTCATTTCCCTTGAATATGGTTCTCCATTGAAACTTGTACTAAAGTAAAGGAACCTGTATTTAATGACCACCTGCCTATAAAGACCACTTAACATGTTTCCCTTGAGCGGTCTTTAAACAGATACCTTCCTGTGTATTCCAAGTCGTAAAGTTTAACATTTTGTAGTATTTTTCCAATAGACTCAATTTTTTTACATGTAAACTTAATACATGTACATTTGTAAATGTACATTTAGGAACTAAGGACATTATCTAGTCTACAGCCTACAGGTGCAGACTCTGTTTTTAAATTGTTTATTTACATTTAAAGACAAAATAAAGACTACCATTAATCAACTCAGTACCGGTACTTAACTAAAACAAAACAAAAATAATAACAACAAAACATTTTTAGATGCTGATTGTATGTCTTCTCATTATTCCTTTTGACCACTCAACCATACATTTTGAAATCAAATTCTACATTAAAATGTTATCTCAATAAATATAATCACACTGGTACAATAACATGTAATTCTACATCCTAATTAAACAATATTAATCTTGAAATGCAAATTCTAAAGATTCAGCTTCTGAAGAAGAAAGATTGTGAACTTGTGTTATTGTCAAGACAACATAATAGACAAAAAGTGCTGTGTATTCTGATTGTTATGGACATAAAGTAAATAATTTCTATTTACATATTATTTTTTTAAATTTTAATCCATACTTTCATCAGCTACATTAATGTCTAATATATCTTTTGATTCATTTCACAGTTTTCCATTTATTTTCAATTTTAAGATTTGCCTTTTTTCCTAAATACTACAAATGCATGGAATTTATTAACATGCACAGTACAGTATACATCATTTGATACTGCCACGGAAATTGACTCCAAATCCACTTTGATCGTCTGACTCTTGTGCTCATTAAAATTTATAGCATCCTTAAACATATTACATGAAGCAAGACATGCCAGAAGGGGTTTCTTTTTTCAGTGATGATTCAAAGATACCATAGACAAACACACGACTCAGACATCTCTGTTTTAAAGAGAAGGTTGACTTCAGGGAAAGGTGAAGAACAACCTGTGAGCTTTTTCATTCTTTTTAAGTTACATGTAGTTAGAAGATTTTCATAGAAGAAAAAAAATGTCCCCCTTCAAAGGATGTCTCTTCCTAACTAATATGCCCTCATATTCAAGTAACAGCTTAAATTAAGGTTGTGGACCAGTCTTACACTGTTATGCCTCATGTATGTGTGGCGACTAGTCCCACACATATTCTGTGTATAGTGCATGCGACTTTTAGCGAAAGTCAGCCAATTTCTTATCATTTTATCACAGTATACATGTACATCAGTGCTTACATGCACATGTACATGTATGCAACATTATAACCCTTTTCCAATTGCTTCCGCACTGTTTCTTTCACCATGCAATTGCATCTAAATCAGAACCAAGCTTTATCTTTAATCCTGCATAAAGGATGCCATGACCTTTCTCAAGGCAACATGACGTAGGTAGAATAGGACAAGATCCCTGTGATATGGGTATATCACTATCGCTGTCGGTTTGATGGGGGGAGAAAACGGAGATCGGAGCAGTGAGGTCTGGCCGTGCCGCGGTGCGTTGGGTGCTTGGATGCTAATATAAGAGTGCCCCCTAGTATCGTGGAAGATAAGTGTGATTAATGAATCTCCAGTAGATTGCAGAGTTGATGAGAGAGGGCATGATGAAGGGTTGGTGATGCGCATATCCAAGGAGATATCATCTGCTGAAAGCCAGAAGGGCGTTATGATTGTTACCACATCCAGGGCTCTATACTTACAAAACTGTAGGTGTATAGAAATGGGTCTGGTTGAATGCTTTACAATCTATATCATGATTGAGCCCTAAGTAAAAACTTGACAATTTGGGGATCTGGACCCAGATTTTGGGCACCCATGTGTCCGGGGTGCCTGTTGGTGTCGAGCCCTGTCATATCCCATACTGAGTTATACCCTTCTTACTCTCGCCAGAATGTACTGTACATGTGACATTAGCTTTGCTCTTGTTCTTTTGAGGCCCCCATGTACCTGTTTCAGGGTAATTTTCTTTTCTTCTTTCGTTCAATGACTGGCATCTAACTTATGAGAATGAAATGAAGGTCCTACATGTATATTGTTGTATTCAATGGCAGAAAGGGGTGTTCAAGCCTTCAAGGGCTTTTTAAAAGAGTTTAGGTGACGTAACACTTTTAGTTCACACATGTACATGTACTTTTTTTCACTATCACATTTATATACATGTACAATGTAGATTACAAGTAAAATAGACTATTACATGCATGTTTTTTTTGTATTATTCAGTTGGAGAGAAAAACCTACATGTATGCTCTAAATAGGATCTAGTTTCCCTTTAAGTTAAACATCCCCCGTTTTGATTGAAGTTACATGTACACAGAGATGAAGTGCTGTCAATTGTTTATCAGGAACAAGCAATTAGAAGTAATTGAGCAAGAAGTAGGCTCTTTCTTTTCCTTTTATGATAAACACCCCCTTCAGTATGCTATCTTCTGTCATTAAATTATGAGGAAAAAAGCAGAATTAGAAGTTGAGTAACTTATAAACGTAGTAGGCTCTTGCTTCCCTTTAAGAAAAATTCCCTTTCCAATAGAAGTTGAAATAAATACAAGATTTGACATGTACATACATGTACATGTGTATGCTTGGTAATTAATGCTTGATTTCCTGAAATGTATACCGGTACATCTAGAAGTGGTTACATGGACGCGATTCTATTTTAGGATACTAATTAGTTACATGGAATTGTGTTTGTGGTTACATACATGTATGTACAAGCCTATCATGTTGTTCAGAATGTGTAGATCTGTCGTTAAACAGATTGACTTACATGTAGATTTCAGTATTCAAATTGGCAGCTCTGTTTCTTTCACCTTCCATTCTTTGTCAGTTTCGTTATAAAAACACATTTATTGTCTTCATGTAAATATGATAAAAACTTCTTAATATCATGAATAGTAGTGCAGAAAAATGATAACATTGGATAAATGACCTGCCTATTTGAAGATTGTACATGACATGTGTACTGTTATTTTTTCTACGTTCTGTGATGTAAAAAAAAGGTCTGCAATAGAATTTGGGGGCACTCAAGTCATGTACATTACATATTTTTGGGGAAGGCCCTAAATATATACTGTTTCCACCATTTTGTTTGTCATGGCATCCTAAATGAAGGATCAAAAAATGAATATCAAATACAAAAAAGCGATTTTGTTTCATTTTCGCAAGTGATTTTTTTTATTGATTTGCATGTACATGTTGGCCCTCTGACCACAAATACAGGCATATTTTCGATCAAATCTTCCGTGTGCAAACACATTTGGTTAAACATCGAACATGTGGCTGAATGTCTTGCATACTATTATTTTCATTGTGAATGGGATTATTATTCTGCTGAGTGTTTATTCAAACAACAAGTACTTATAGCGAGTTGATTTAAATGGTACTGTGGCCGGTGCGGCTGAAAGGGAAATTTAATTTCATTAACATGATTGTATTTTGTTTTATGATTTGTTAAATAGTGTTGCAAATTTATATGAATGGATACA